TTAGTTCATATATTCTCACCCTTACTAAATCCACCAAAGAATGTGTAAACAACCTCAATAAGATCTTGTTCAACTTTATCTGGGATGGTAAGCAGGATAAATATCAAGAGAACTACTTTGATAAGGGATTATGTGGATTAAGGATGGTAGACATTATTAACTTTATCTCAGCATTAAAAATATCATTTCTGCGACGATATATACAAAAAGAGACTAGACTCTTGAATTTTCCGTTTTCAAATTTATTCTTAGTCGGTGCTAATATTGAGAAAATTTTCACAACTGATAACCCTTTCTGGATAGATACTTTTTTGGCTTGGAAACACTATTACTTGCAAAAGCATAGTACCCCTCAATGAACCTCTATGGCTTAACCATCAGAATACAAGCCCAAGCCTTTTAATAACAAGTTGGTCTAAACAAGGAATTACAGCTATAAAGGATGTATATGGTAAGGAAGGCTTTCTTTCATCTGATATTATTAAAAAAGACTTACAACATTAAAGGCACGTTTCTTGACTTTGGAAGTTTAATTAATAATCTTCCTGTAGATTGGAGAGGGAAAATGAAAAAGAACAACACACTATTCTACAACCTAAGCTTATCTGAACCTTTAGTGGACCTGCTCTCTGAAGCTAAAGGATGTAGAATATACCATGACAACCTTGAAAAAAACGTTGATACACCTCATTCTTGTCTAAACTGGAACAATGAGTTTAATACTGTTATGAATTGGAAACTTATATATACACAAACAAGAACCTGTAACAAAGACAGTAAATTGTGCGATTTTCAATATAAATTCTTACAAACAGCAATATATACAAGAACTCTTAAAAATGGAATTAATAGACAAAAATACATGCTGTGTTTTGTGAAGGAGCAAATAAAGATATTCATCATGTTTATTATGAATGAACCCATGTTAATAGTTTATGGAAGCAGGTAGCAGATTTTATGAACAGAAGATGTACTAGCAGATGTGAACTACCAAAGGAAGTTGTCTTATTTGGACTACCCAGACGCTTTGTATTACAAAATCACTTGATTCTGATTGCGACAAAATTCATTCACAATAACAGTATATTTATTAACTCAAAAAAAGCTTTGTTTGACTCGTTTGTAAAAACAGTCAAGGATATAATGAATATTGAAAAATACATTGCAAATATGAATCTGAAAGTTAACACTTTCAATAAGAAATGGCAACCTTTGATAAACATTGATACACAAGCTACCCTTGACTGAACTTATGATACAAACCATTCTTACTAATATCATTATCATTAGTATCATTACAACTTGATACTTACTGTAATGTGACCTCTGTACCATATATTGTGTAACAGTTTTATTGCATTATCCCATGATAAACATTGGTTCACCAACTGCCACTATACGTCTTACGATATTTGCTACAATGTGATCTTTTTCTCCTGCTCTAGAAAAGCACTGAGAATTCATCAGGTAACCATTACGGTATTAACTTTTTAATATTTTTGTTATCATTATTTGCCATGTGTGATACTTGTTGCAATGCGGCTGATCTTCTCTATTAATACAGCATTATAACCACGGATTGTAAGTTGCCATCAACATGTTGTTTATGAAAGCAAACATCACACCCTGTACATCAGTATAGGTATGAAAGCAAACATCACACCCTGTACATCAGTATAGCTACCTTGTATGAACTGTGTAAGTTGTTTCGTTACTCTATGAACAAGTCTGTCCATTAATATATAGCTACACTGTCTGAACTGTATGAACTTATATGCTACTTATATTTTACTTATATGCTACTTATATGCTACTGTACAAACGTGTAACCCTGGTGTACTGAAATAAAAAATGGAAACAAACGTTTTGTAGACCCTTCTAACATACATTTTCGTGTGACCCACCCCTATAATATAGGACCAGTCCCTTATCTATGGTGGCTGATTAGGGCCATCGCTTTCTCGCCTTAAAATTCGGAGGCGAGAAAGCGATATCACGCCACCATACTTATCCCAACGAGGTGACTCATGCAGGACACTAGGGGTTTAACGGGGATGGACCCCGTTGTTATCTAAGTCGCACTCTCTCATTTAGACAACTTGATATAGCTTGGGTGTATTCTTGAACACGCGATGAGCTCATAGTAACTACCTGTGTATACGTAGTCATTAAAAGCATTGATGACAACTGCACATTAAACGTACACAGCACGAGTGGTGTGCCAGCTGTCACATCTGAAATTCAAATTGAAATACATTAGTATAGGTTTAACGTGGGCCCGATTGACATCTTGAAACCACAACAGCGTCCGTGACTCGAATGTATACGCTGAAGTCCTTTTGATTTCATTTGTGCAGCCCATTTCTGGTGTCTCCGCCGTGATATTGCTGGAATATTGCTAAAAGCGGCGTAAAACTAAACTCACTCACTCACACATTGGTGAAACCCACGAGAAACGTGTACAGTACTGTATACTGCTAACAATGTAGACCCCCTTCCCTACCCAACCCCACACAACCCCACTCAAGCTGCATGCTGAAGATACCGTGTCCACCCCGCGACCTAAAGACTGGCGATTAAAACAGATTAACAGGTTTTTCAGAATCCGAATAAATTGGACTGGTTCATCTTACTGTTATTTCGTCTGTCATTTAATAATCAATATTATAAATTAATATAACATGTTCTTAAATTGTATGAAACCCTGCGTTTATCTCCAAATCTGATATCGACATTCCACTCGAGTGAAATGTATTATGTTAATCTACACTGAATAAGTATTTAATGCTTGAATTGTTTACGTCTCATTTGAATTTAGTAACAATGTTTTCACCAGATATTTTATAAAATACAGGTATAAAAACAAGGCTCTCAAATGGCATGCATATCACAACTGACTGTGGCATTTTAAAGTATGTATAATGTCAGGTCTTTCGATGAAATAAACATACTACTGACCACACTTATAACAAATGCCACATATTCAATTCATCCTGAAAGCTTATCCATCTTGCCACTCACTAAAATATTACTTATTTAATCGTCTGGCTTTCTGTCGAGAATGTCATTACTTATACGAAGACGTGGCCGACATATGATCATAACCTTGTTATTAATTATATATCATGCAATATGATACAGACGTCTTAATGTATATGCCGGAAGCATAACCAAACGAGTGAGTGAGTGAGGTTTTACGCCACGCAATAATCCAGTATAATGGCAGGTGGACACTAGAAAAGGGCTTTACAAACTAGTGGTCTCTCTCTCTCTCTCTCTCTCTCTCTCTCTCTCTCTCTCTCTCTCTCTCTCTCTCTCTCTCTCTCTCTCTCTCTCTCTCTCTCTCTCTCTCTCTCTCTCTCTCTCTCTCTCCTCTCTCTCTCACACACACACACACCTGAAGGCGTAACAATTTGCTTAAGTTTTGACGAGAAAAAAACTCTGGACTCATCTTTTATATTTTTTTTGCTTGTACACCTGCAGAAATCACTTGTTTATAATATACATATATGAGTTACATTCTAACCTCAACCACTACATCTACATGTATTTACGTATACGTGTGGAAGGTAAGACCTTTCAATTACTGATTTAAATTTTATTGTTATATGTCTATTATGTTTTTAAAGTATATAAATCTGTATCCGCCATTTCTACACGTATACAGGTAGACGTAGCTGTATGACATTACCCGGCTGGATAGAGTCATTCCTCCCCAGTAACACAATTGGCAATGTCGTTTTGATTGTGAAGGTCTGCCTGGTATATACAGGTATGATGATACTGTATACATGGAGACGTTACATTATATACGAAGACTCTTGGTAAATCGCACACACGCTAAAACACACTAATCTACAATATTATGAATATGAAAATCTAAAATATACATTATCAAGAAAATCTTTAAATGAGTAAAACGTAAAAGGTAAAGAGAAAAAAGTATTGACGACCATTTACCGCTACAAGGGAACATGTGGAACATTTGCCAGGATATGATTTGTCAAACGGAATGCTTGGCTTGACAAAACAGAAGTTTGATAAATCGATCCATATAACGGTATAAACTATCTGACTATCAGTAATCGATGTTAACTGTATCCAGCGATTGTTGCCATCATGTTTTAGGATATTAGAAACGTCTAGTTTTTAGTGCAAAATGCGAAATATACGTAGCAGATAGCACTAAAAATAAGGACAACACGAAACCTTGTCTAAGGCATATAATACACACGCATACATTTCTCAGTTCCCTGGGCGTTATTGTATAGAGGGCGCGGATAGCGAAGTTTACTTAGCTTCAATACTACAGGTAAAGCATTGCGTATTGCACGTTATCGTCATATAGGGGAACATTCTAGGATGGGGATAGTTTGCAAGCACATATACATACATTAATTTATTTTAATCATATAATGATATATATATATATATCACGTGTATACAAACGTGTTTGCAGCTTTGTGAAAAACAAAACTTTTCACAAATGGTCAATATCTATATGTTGGAGAATATAACTACTGAAGCAAGTTGTGCATCTCGTCTTGCCAGATAACCTCCCGTTACTTAGTGTCACCAAAATGTATTAAAACAAACTTTGATTATTGATAAGTACACTGCTTGTATCCAGTTTAGTGTGCATTTAGACGGGTGAACACTGTGCCATGAAATCATGTTATTTTGTAAGGAAAGGTATTTGTACGGGAGACACCTAACCAGACCCTCTGATTCTGCTGCCGTTACATCAGTAGTTCGTGAGAAAACCTACACTAAGTACAAAAACATAGATCAACGGACGTCAATGTGGAAAAACATTTCATCAATTTTCGAACTCAGTCTTGACACCTATCTCTAAAGTGATGATGCAAATTTCCATTCCAGCTTTAGTCTCCATTTCAAACAATACGTCCTAACATCGTGACTTGAAAAACATGGAACAGGAGACATAACTATGGAGAACAGATGAATGACACCACGTTTCAAACTCTTTTGAGATCGGGACTAGTATCGTCAATGTTTAATGTTTCCTTTCTACAACTTCAAGAGTTTTTGAGAACCTTGTGTTCACGCATTGTACATAAAGGAAAGAAACATGTTCAGAAATGACGGTAACAGTGGTGAGAGAATCTTCCATAGTCGTCCATATGGTGCGGGGTATGGTACTTGTGACGTCAGGCTGTAATGAGAGCCTGAAACAGACAGACACGTCTTTAGACAGATCGGTCAAATACACGGTTCACATTAATGTTACAAGGTACAACTGATGGACAGATTCGACCTGGGAAATTGACGTACATGTAGGGTCGATCGGTTTGCCCACTTGTTTCCACTTGACTCCTGACACTGTTGTAGTCTGTATTTATGACTTACCAGAACCGTCATTGTTGACAAGCAGAGAAGCCCGACGCTTTGGGGGCGATTCCATTTGGACGGGGCACCTTAAAATCAATTCAAGGAGTTAATCACACCAGTCAGCTATTCTGTGGCAAGCTTGAATTGGATTACATACATTGTACCAAAAGAAAAACAGAAATCTTTTTTTAAGAAGTTTTACGACCACCATTACGTAGAGAAGATTGCCAGAATATTGACCAATGGACATCGTGGTTCAACAACTGGAAACAAATCACAGTTTGCTTGTGGTTTTCCATAATTGACAATTTCCAGAAACAAACCCGTTAATGTACAAAAAGAAAATGTGAAATTACAAAACTGAAGATAATTACTTTTATTAATGCCCAAAGGGGTCAAAACAATACAAAAGCTGAATAATGATTCAATAATGTTTACGCCAGCAAATTATGTGTATAAGTGTTTGTATAAAACTTACGACAAATGTCCGGTTTTACGTGACTTTTATAAGCGCAAACTGGGCATATGTCTGCGTCACGCAGCCTTGAACAGAAGGTGCTATCTGGATTTTGAGGACATTGATCTGCACAGTCCAGTCCGTACCAGCCAACATCACAGCTGGTGCACGTCCTCTTGACTTTATCACAGGTTTTACATATGGAGGGACACTTCATGTGGCAGTACTGACCATACCACCCGTCAACACATGTGTCTGGTCTGCAGGTGCCATCTGGATTACAAGACATCCCCTTGCACTTCTCAGTGCAGTCTGACTGACAGTCAGGTCCAAAGTAATGGGAACTGCAGGACATGCATGTTACAGATCCGTTACATCTTCCACATCTCTTGTTACAGGGAATGTTGCACTGAGTTCCCCGGAATCCGTCCTTGCATCCTGTCGTACATTTAGGTTGTCCATTTGTGGCTACCGTACACTGAAGGTCAATGCAATTATTCGGGCACTCGTATTGACATTTGGGGCCATAGTTGTGAGACTCAGCACATCCATGAAGACAATGTCCAGAAGAGTCACACTGCAGATCTTTACAATACGTGCAGCCACAGGCATCAACAGAAGCGACTGAAACCAAAGGTTATTCAGTGGTTATTCCAGAGGTTATTCAATTGTCCGACATCGTATACTCATCGACACCAATGCATGTAAATCTTAATACTTATCTCCTAAAGACAAAATCTACATAGACATTTCAATATTTGAGAAAAGTCCTAACACCGTACCTAGATATGACAGGGTAAGAGTTATCACGGCTATTCTGTTTCCATAGACTGGATTCAGTATAACCAGCACTATGAGAAGTGTGTTGGGGTGAAGAACCCCAGACGATCCTCCTGGCAAACAGGCACCATCCACCTGCATGCAACGTCCACTTGTGCAGTCCTTGCATCTCTCATCACAACGTGGCTTGTAGTATCCTGCTTTACAGCCTTCAGCACAGTTGCCAGTTGGTTTGTCACAGTAGACTTTCTTGGTTGATTCCTCCTCGTCACAGTTGGTCGGGCAGGGCTCATCGCACTCTGGGCCCCAGAATTCTGGAGGACATGTTTCAGTGCAATCCACAAAGGCGGTTAGAAGTCCGACTAATACTGAAACAGCAGTTTGAAAAGAAACTAGTTTTACCATCCGTTTTCGATATAATAATCATTTCCATAAACATCGAAATATCAATTGTTTGATTCCGATTATATCCTGAGCATGAGTTTATGAACTCTATCGATTAAGTGATGATTCCAGATGTTTTGAAAAGGTGTCACGCCGGCAGTGCTCGTCACAAACACATGCAAAGCCAAATCAAGTTTCATCTGTAAAGGCACTTAATGAAGGATATTTCATCCCCAACGCCTATCATCACTTGCTGAATTAACCAGTGCTCAGAATGAATCCGACTAATACTGGAACAGCAGTATGAAAACACATGTTTCGAATACAATCGATATTTATATAACATAGTCTACCATTGATGAAAATCAAGGACCAGTTATTTCAACATTAGCTGTCGAACTGTTGGAGAAAGGCAACTGGCAATGTTTGAAACAAAACCTTCATGTTTTACTTCTCCTACTTTGATCAGAGTGATCTGCTGTGATTTGGTTGAAAACCTTCAAAACTTAATGCTTTGCTGGGGACTCAAATCCCATTGAAACAGGTAAGTGAAACGACATGTGATCAGTTGATAATTCAGTTTGACTACTGAGCTTATAAACATGGACATGGTCTTATGCAAATCCACATGACATTTGAGCGATCAAAGACATTTCAAAAACTTACAAAGAAAACTGTCATGGATTAAATATGGACAAATGGTAGGAAACACTTACAATATCCGTACATTCGGTGAGGAGATAGTACAAGCATGTCCCTCATGAACCTGCACACCTATTCTCACGAAATGTGCACCGACTGATATCTGAAAGTGATAAAGAATTAAAGTTCTTTTCTTTAAATGATCATTTTATTGTTAGAACATCATTTATTGTTCACAAAATTCAAACCATGAAAAGTCACATGTCAAGAAGAACACGAAGATCGCCAATCATGATTGGGTACTCATCACTGGGTAACCTAATTTGCATAAATTGATCATCAAACTTACTATACAGGTTTTTTAAACTAAGTGTTATTGGAAATATATTTCACGTAGGTTTTATCTGTATTATATAGTGCTAAACAACAAAACCTGGCCATTATACAACCTGAATACAAACCTTGTAGTCTACGTTACAGCAACACTACCATATCCAAATAGAAATTACGAAACATTACTGGTGAGATGTTGCTATTCGATTACACAGAGTTACATTAAAAGCTACAAAAGAGAAACTACAAAAAAGAAACTGTTTCTTCGTTTCATTCATTATTTAAAGTACAGACAGTACATAAGAACAGAGACAATTCATCCAAACTGTAATCACGTTACATGTTTAGTTAGATGTAAAATATCAACAATGATAAGCCAATTATAAGTAAATAATCATTTAATGCTTAGAACTTTAACTTTAGATCCATAAAACTGTCTTATCTGAGTAGCCCTGATAGTGTGTGATGAACTGTAAAGACGTCACTGGACAATCGTGCACATTTCAATCACGCCACTGAACAAAATGTACGTCATGCCATGTGCTTTTGGCGCTTGGATGACTGCGTCAATACTACTTCTGGAGCCAGTGGACGGCCAATGCCAAAGGTACGTAACTATTGTGTGCAATCCGAGAAAAAGGTGATGCTCCTTTGGAAATGAGGCCACGTAGATTACATAACGTAGATTACACAGACGTCCTTTAGCCCCCACCAAACATTTAAAGTGTAAAGGAAGAGCATCTCCTTCACTTAGTTATTAGTACTGAATAGATCTGTTCATTTAAAAACCTTTTGGTAACACTGGATGTACAGTTTTACCTTATGAGATTGATATTGCATTGTCCCAATACAAAACTGTAAATAAGGAATACTATCTAATGAATAAATATAATTAAAAAATATTATTATATAGTCAATTTCATGGGGTAATGTAGATTGCACATCATATTAAACATAAATTCTAAAGCAATTAAACCATATGTGGGTATGGGCGAAAGGGACAATACCTTAAATGGAAAATGTAATCTGTTTTGTTCACACTAGATGTCTATGTACTTTGAAATATTCATTCCAAATGTTATACTATCATTGGAGACATGCACATTTTGGTGATATTGACTAACTTTTTACCCAGAGTCACACACATAAACAACAGATCATTAACACTTTCTATGTCTCGGATACCTAGCAAGCCTGTCGCCTAATATAAACATGATATGAACTGGTGAAATCAGTAAAAAGGTTTATTTAACGCGGAGACAGGTAAAATTACAAATGGTGCGCGTTTCGTGAGAATAGGTGTGCAGATGAATGTGGCCATGATACTTCGCAATATAGTAATAATATTATTAAATTCAGTATTTCTCTCTTCTCGTTAGAATTGATTTGTATTTGATTAACTATTTTTATGGAGTAACATGTACAATGTGAATGACCTCCCCTATAAATGTATGTACAAAGTAAGTGACCCCCTACATGTCATGTACAAACTTGATTACCTCCCTACTTCCCCAGAACAAAATGGGTGACCCCTTAACATCATCACCACTAGCTATCACTTCCGGTGAACAGGCTTATAACAAACAGACGGTTATAACGAACTAATTTTGTCCCGACTACACACTGTATATATCATTTATAACGAGAACTACGGTTATAACGAACTAATTTTGTCCCAACTACACACTGTATATATCATTCATAAAGAGAACTACGGTTATAACGAACTAATTTTGACCCGACTACACACTGTATATATCATTCATAAAGAGAACTACGGTTATAACGAACTAAATTTGTCCCGACTACACACTGTATATATCATTCATAAAGAGAACTACGGTTATAACGAACTAATTTTGTCCCGACTACACACTGTATATATCATTCATAACGAGAACTACGGTTATAACGAACTAAATTTGTCCCGACTACACACTGTATATATCATTCATAACGAGAACTACGGTTATAACGAACTAATTTTGTCCCAACTACACACTGTATATATCATTCATAAAGAGAACTACGGTTGTAACGAACTAATTTTGTCCCGACTACACACTGTATATATCATTCATAAAGAGAACTACGGTTATAACGAACTAATTTTGTCCCGACTACACACTGTATATATCATTCATAAAGAGAACTACGGTTATAACGAACTAATTTTGTCCCGACTACACACTGTATATATCATTCATAAAGAGAACTACGGTTGTAACGAACTATAATTAGTTGTCCCTTTGTGTTCGATTTAACCATAGTTTGCTGTAATACTATGTGACAATCACTGTACTGAAAGTATCATAAGACACGGGAATATTACACACAGATCACTAACTATTGAATCCAAGTGAGCTCTAAAGACAAGCTGTATTATATTGCGACGGTTCTCTGGAACGTGACAATACAGACGAACAGTTAGCTGTCCTTCGCTGACTGGGCTATGCTCGGGCAGAGGGATCTATTTAAACCATTCAACACATGGGCATGCGCGGATCGAAGAGCGTTCCAAATGTACTACATGTTTTATGCCCAGGGTTAAGTAGTAAGGGTACAAGTAGTAAGGTTCTGTTTGGCTACACGATAATAATGCGACTTGGAACAGACCATGGCTTTATGTAAATCTAATGTGCGATGATATTGTATTACAAAGGACACTTTTTTAAATGCCCATTTTGAAATTAGACTTAGCTTCATTATAATTTAACGATAGCTGACGTAAAAATGATAACTTTAATACTGATACTATTAAGGATGAAGCTTCCATGGAGTGTAAGCAGCACATGCATTTCGTGCCAGGTGAGACGACGGTCGGTCATCATGCCAGGCTGAGCGACCCCAATTCCCTCTATAGTCTGATCTATTATTTTCAGCAGCTATTCGTATTTGTTTTCTAAGTTATGCCCGTGTTTACGAGTAAACATGCTTTTCTGGATATCATACGCTTTTCTGGATATCTGTTACGCATCCCACTGAACGCCCAGTTAGACCGATGTGGGCTATTTCGACATATGCTATTTGCAGTTGTGTAAATTTAGGGATACAGAGTAACACTTGCTTGATAACGGTGTTAGTAGCTACACGAAACGTCGCACATATTATATTAAAGAAGTTGTATATCCAAAGACCCTTCCTACCTGTTTGTTTTTATAGCGATCGTGAGACTCCATGGTAGCTACATCATTAATAGCTTCAGTATTAAAGTTATCATTTTTACGTCAGCTATCATTTATTATGAAGCTAAGTCTAATTTCATAATGTGCATTTTAAAAGTGTCCTTTGTAATACAATATCATCGCACACTAATTTGCATAAAGCCATGGTCTGTCACTTTGGAATTTGAAAAAATCCGCATGGTTCATTCCTGCACTAATCTCTCCTCAGCAAAGTCCCTTTTTCACGTTTCCTATATCCCTAACACTGAAGACTGTAGCTAGGCCGAATTTCACATAGATATTTCACACTTTCACATATTAACTACATAAATTGTAGATATAAATGTGAAAAAAAGGTTTTTCTATTTCCGACAGTACTTTAATATCGTTGTCGGCACGTGCACGTGCTTCTCGTACATCTAACTGTTCCTCTCTTTGTACTTCTCCCTCGTAACAAATACTGTGTCAATATTGTTAAACAACCTTTTCGTTTTAGGACATTTATTCTGAAAAAAAAATCACAGAGTTGGTCTGATGTTTTGATTATGATCAGCGTTTCATTGAATATTATATGTTCATTAGTTTTCGAGTTAAACTGCAATTCATCGGTCCGCTTTTGAGTCAAACGGACTAAAGTTTACTGTAATGTTATGTGGTTATCATTGTACTGAAAATATCATTAGACAACAGTCAGACCGATCCGTACTTACTGTTCAATCCGAGTGACATCTAGCGGCAAGTAACACGTTGTATTTAGTTGTAGACATTGCCTATGAACGTATTATAAATGAGATAGGTGTGTTACACAGGCTTGAGATAGATTAAGAAACCCACCAAACACGTTGCTACGGACATGTGGACGTTGTTTTATCTTTAGAAGTGGTAAAGTTGATCTGTGATTTCAACCATGTATCTGCTTTGTCGTTGCCATGTAGCAAGTGTTGACAGCAAAAGCTTATCGAGAATGAGCACTCGATAAGAAACTTCACGGGAGTCATATTTAATTTGTTCTGTTATGCAGCATATATGTATATATGTTTGAAAGCGTTTGTGTATGTGAGTGACTGAGTGAGTGAGTGAAAGTTGGTGGGTAAGTGCAGTGGAACCTTGTGCATTGTGCTACAAGAATGGGTGAAAGAGTTCACCGAAGCCAGTAATCGCAATACCAATCCTGTTGGTTATTCTATGTATCACTCACACACACACACACACACACACACACACACACACACACACACACACACACACACCTACCTGAAGGGGTAACAATTTGCGAAAGTTTTGACGAGAAGAAAACTCTGGACTCATCTTTTATATATTTATTGCTTGTACACCTGCAGAAATCACTTGTTTATGTATATACTAGTACATATATTATATCAGTTACATTCTAACCTCAACCACTACATCTACATGTATTTACGTATACGTGTGGAAGGTAAGACCTTTCAATTACTGATTTAAATTTTATTGTTATATGTCTATTATGTTTTTAAAGTATATAAATCTGTATCCGCCATTTCTACACGTATACAGGTAGACGTAGCTGTATGACATTACCCGGCTGGATAGAGTCATTCCTCCCCAGTAACACAATTGGCAATGTCGTTTTGATTGTGAAGGTCTGCCTGGTATATACAGGTATGATGATACTGTATACATGGAGACGTTACATTATATACGAAGACTCTTGGTAAATCGCACACACGCGAAAACACACTAATCTACAATATTATGAATATGAAAATCTAAAATATACATTATCAAGAAAATCTTTAAATGAGTAAAACGTAAAAGGTAAAGAGAAAAAGTATTGACGACCATTTACCGTTACAAGGGAACATGTGGAACATTTGCCAGGATATGATTTGTTAAACGGAATGCTTGGCTTGACGAAACAGAAGTTTGATAAATCGATCCATATACATGTAACGGTATAAACTATCTGCCTATCAGTAATCGATGTTAACTGTATCCAGCGATTGTTGACATCATGTTTTAGGATATTAGAAACGTCTAGTTTTTAGTGCAAAATGAGAAATATACGTAGCAGATAGCACTAAAAATAAGGACAACACGAAACCTTGTCTAAGGCATATAATACACACGCATACATTTCTCAGTTCCCTGGGCGTTATTGTATATAAGGCGCGGATAGCGAAGTTTACTTAGCTTCAATACTACAGGTAAAGCATTTTCGTAAACACGTTATCGTCATATAGGGGAACATTCTAGGATGGGGATAGTTTGCAAGCACATATACATACATTAATATATTTTAATCATATAATGATATATACATATATCACGTGTATACAAACGTGTTTTGCAGCTTTGTGAAAAACAAAACTTTTCACAAATGGTCAATATCTATATGTTGGAGAATATAACTACTGCAGCAAGTTGTGCATCTCGTCCTGCCAGATAACCTCCCGTTACTTAGTGTCACCAAAATGTATTAAAACAAACTTTGATTATTGATAAGTACACTGCTTGTATCCAGTTTAGTGTGCATTTAGACGGGTGAACACTGTGCCATGAAATCATGTAAGGAAAGGTATTTGTACTGGAGACACCTTACCAGACCCTCTGATTCTGCTGCCGTTACCTCAGTAGTTCGTGAGAAAACCTACACTAAGTACAAAGTAAAACCTTCACTAAGTAAAAAACATAGATCAACGGACGTAAATGTGGAAAAACATTACATCCATTTTCGAACTCAGTCTTGACACCTATATCTAAAATGACGATGCAAATTTCAATTCCAGCTTTAGTCTCCATTTCAAACAGTACGTCCTAACATCGTGACTCGAAAAACATGGAACAGCGGACATAACTACGAAAAACAGATGAATGACACCACGTTTCAAACTCTTTTGAGATCGGGACTAGTATCGTCAATGCGTAATATTTCCTTTCTACAACTTCAAGAGTTTTTGAGAACCTTGTGTTCACGCATTGTACATAAAGTAAAAAACACAAAGGAAAGAAACATGTTCAGAAATGACGGCAACAGTGGTGAGAGAATCTGTCCCAAGTTCGATCATCTTCCATAGTCGTCCATATGGTGCGGGGTATGGTACTTGTGACGTCAGGCTGTAATGAGAGCCTGAAACAGACAGACACGTCTTTAGACAGATCGGTCAAAGACACGGTTCATATTAATGTTAAAAGGTACAACTGATGGACAGATTCGACCTGGGAAATTGACGTACATGTAGGATCGATCAGTTTGCCCACTTGTTTCCACTTGACTCCTGACACTGTTGTAGTCTGTATGTATGACTTACCAGAACCGTCATTGTTGACAAGCAAAGAAGCCCGACGCTTTGGGAGCGATTCCATTTGGACGGGGCACCTTAAAATCAATTCAAGGAGTTATTCACACCAGTCAGCTATTCTGTGGCGAGCTTGAAATGGATTGCATACATTGTACCAAAAGAAAAACAGAAATTCTTTTTAAGAAGTTTTACGACCACCATTACGTAGAGAAGATTGCCAGAATTTTGACCCATGGACATCGTGGTTCAACAACTGGAAACAAATCACAGTTTGCTTGTGGTTTTCCATAATTGACAATTTCCAGAAACAAACCCGTTAATGTACAAAAAGAAAATGTGAAATTACAAAACAGAAGATAATTACTTTTATTAATGCCCAAAGGGGTCAAAACAATACAAAAGCTGAATAATGATTCAAGCGTCTGTAAAACGTATTGTTTACGCCAGCAAATTATGTTTATAAGTGTTTGTATAAAACTTACCACAAATGTCCGGTTTTACGTGACTTTTATAAGCGCAAACTGGGCAAATGTCTGTATCACGCAGCCTTAAACAGAAAGTGCTTTCTGGAACTTGAGGACATTGATCTGCACAGACCAGACCATGCCAGCCAACATCACAGCTGGTGCACGCTCCCATGACTTTATCACAGGTTTTACATGTGGAGGGACACTCTCTGTGGCAGTATGGACCATACCACCCGTCAACACACGTGTCTGATCTGCAGGTTCCATCTGGATTACAAGACATCCCCTTGCACTTCTCAATGCAGTCTGACTGACAGTCAGGTCCAAAGTAATGGGAACTGCAGGACAGACATGCTGCAGGTCCGTTACATCTTCCACATCTCTTGTTACAGGGAATGTTGCACTGAGTTCCCCGGAATCCGTCCTTGCATCCTGTCATACAGTTAGGTTGTCCATTTGTGGCTACCGTACACTGAAGGTCAATGCAATTATTTGGGCACTCATATTGACATTTTGGACCATAGTTGTAAGACTCAGGACATCCATGAAGACAATGTCCAGAGGAGTCACACTGCAGATCTATACAGTACGTGCAGCCACAGGCATCAGCATGAACGACTGAAACCAAAGGATATTATGGTCAATGCATCACAGTGTTGTGATTAGGATTCTACATAATCAAATTGACAATGTGTATTCACATAGAGACCGCAAATCGATACTTTGTATTCTCAGGTGACAGCAAAGCGACCCTATGTATTCACAGGTGACAGCAAAGCGACACTATGTATTCACAGGTGACAACAAAGCGACACTATGTATTCACAGGTGATAACAAAGCGACACTATGTATTCACAGGTGACAACAAAGCGACACTATGTATTCACAGGTGACAACAAAGCGACACTATGTATTCACAGGTGATAACAAAGCGACAGTATGTATTCACAGGTAAGAACAAAGCGATCCTATGTATTCATAGGTGACAACAAAGCGACACTATGTATTCATAGGTGACAACAAAGCGACACTATGTATTCACAGGTGACAACAAAGCGACACTATGTATTCACAGGTGACAACAAAGCGACCCTATGTATTCATAGGTGACAACAAAGCGACACTATGTATTCACAGGTGACAACAAAGCGACCCTATGTATTCACAGGTGATAACAAAGCGACACTATGTATTCACAGGTATGAACAAAGCGACCCTATGTATTCACAGGTAAGAACAAAGCGACCCTATGTATTCACAGGTGACAAACAAAGGACCCTATGTATTCACAGGTAAGAACAAAGCGACCCTATGTATTCATAGGTGACAGCAAAGCGAGCCCATGAATTCACAGGTGACAACAAAGCGACACTATGTATTCACAGGTGACAACAAAGCGACGCTATGAATTCACAGGTGACAACAAAGCGACAGTATGTATTCACGGGTAAGAACAAAGCGATCCTATGTATTCACAGGTAAGAACAAAGCGACCCTATGTATTCACAGGTGACAACAAAGCGACCCTATGTATTCACAGGTGACAGCAAAGCGAGCCCATGAATTCACAGGTGACAACAAAGCGACAGTATGTATTCACAGGTGACAACAAAGCGACACTATGAATTCACAGGTGACAACAAAGCGACAGTATGTATTCACAGGTAAGAACAAAACGATCCTATGTATTCACAGGTAAGAACAAAGCGACCCTATGTATTCACGGGTAAGAACAAAGCGACCCTATGTATTCACAGGTGACAACAAAGCGACCCTATGTATTCACAGGTAAGAACAAAGCGATCCCATGAATTCACAGGTCACAGCAAGTCCCCATTGTATATATATAGTTGACAGCAAAACAGCCTCACTTAGATATAATAATACATAATGTTGACAAGACATGTGCATGTTTCAAGTCATTAGTTTAGTTTTAGTTCTGATCAAATTTCCAAGTAAGCCTTTTTCTATAATTAAAATGAGATCGTGATTGTTGGGGATAACTTTTTCATCCGTGAGTTATGTGATTGAATATCGTTTATAGTTTCATTTGAAATAGGTTAATGTGTGGTC